CACATAAGGAAAGAAGTCTTTGACACTTACAGGAAATATTGACAACGAGAGGGACAGTGAATCAGCAAGTAACCTACATAACGAAATTGTGTAAATGGATGGCAGAACATGGATGAAGACGGGTAGTAATGGGGAAAACATTGATAATAGCAACAAAGAATCGTTCACGTCCTTAAGGGACGTGGCACATAAAGCTAGAAATCACTTCCCACGGTGTGCACAGAGACTACACTGATCTGAAGAATTTAAGAGGGAAGTGAAACCTTCGTCCGCAGTAGCCAACGCAGATGTTCTGTTCCAGAGAAGAGTTACGATTCTTGCATAGATAATTCTCATTTTTGACGGGTTTTATGCTAGGGATAAAGTTGAAGTTGTAAGTTTTTAATTTTTTTTTAAAAATATGTTGATGTCCCTTTTCTTAATTAAAAACAGAATCATTTTTTTTTGCGATAGAACGTTCTCAGAGCCAGGTTTACCAAAATATCCTAATTATAGCTTGCATACAACCAATCTTTTATAATTATTGTACCGATGACCTTTCTTAAGTCGATTCAAGTTTATATGATCTTTGTGAGGCGGAACATAGGAATTGTCACAGGGTTATTTATGTTTTTTTTTTCTCAAAGGAATCACCATTTGCCCATTAAAACATAAAAGACAACATGTTGCGTTCGTTTATTTTTTATTTTTCATTATCTTAATAGTAAAATTTCGCTACGCCATTTTCTTTGCGCCAAACCAGAGTTATCGTTCTTTCATATTTTGTTGCTGCTAATTAACTCTCTTGACTTTTTTCTTTCTTTCTTACATGTTTTTTTTTTTTTTTATTTGCTTTTTTTTTTTCGTTTTAGTTGTGGTAATTTCCGATAATTAAAAAAAATGGTCGGTGGCCAAAGATTAAAAACTTTGTCGAGATCAATATAATTTTTTTTTCGCCCTTCTTCCTCTCATTACAATCAAATAATTAATTTATCGATTTATTGGTTTTTAATTTAATAATTGATTTAATTAATTCAATTAATTTATAAATCGGCGGCTACTAATAGGAACGCCAGAATGAGTTACGCAAACAGGTCATTATTTGAGATATCTCATATCGAGGCTTATATTAGAGCTTTTACTTCATATAAACTAGATGTCGTATGGTTAGTTTATATGTCGGAAATTCTGTGACTTTCTTGACAAAAACGTTTCCAGAAATAATTTCCAAATCATTTATTGTTCATCTTATTTATTTTACTTACAATATTTTGATCATTTTAAATTCAGACCTCTGATTCCCAACGTGTGCATGGTAAGATTTTGGTGAGACATGCGTAGGATATGCACCCTTCGGCTTACGATACAAACAGAATATGTGGGAAATTCGAGAATGAGTTATTAACAGTGAATTGTTTTCTAGTCACTCTGAGTGAAAGTGTTAATATTAATACGTGTTAATGCATATGATGAATATGCATTATGTATGAATAAAAATATTTTCTGATCTAATAAAAATTGATTTTCCAACATGGGTGATGCAGCCAATTCTAGTGGATATTTCCAATGTCTTGATGCAGTACCAAGAAAAACTCTCGGAGATGCAAAATGATGAGTCTGTTAAAACTTTATTCAATATACAAAGAAGTGATGGCATGGCTTTGGGATGAGACAGTAACTAAATACCCAAATTCAACCACCGTTGTAAGAAATTACCATTTCCATCTTCATATTTAGCTGAATGTGGCTTTAATGCCGTAAATGATTTATTATTGAAGAAAAGAAATCGATTGGATATCATTAAACGAGGAGACTTGAGGCTTTAAGCTGACTAAATCTGTGCCTAATACAAAATCTACCCGTTGCAAACATGACGCAAAATGATCTCACTAACTCATTTTGTAATGAGCTCAAATTTCATTTTGCATTATTATTTCATAATTAAAATTGTTGGGGCGCACCCACCTTCTGACTGATAATGAACTTATCCCTCTACCATATAAGTCAGTGCTAGAGAGAGTAGTTGTGTTGTGCGAGGATCAGGTTCAGCCACAGCAGTCGAGACCAGGTTACCATTACATACCGTTGGACTGTAGACTTTTGCTATTGTTACTTACTAACCGGCGTTCCTTATTACTAATCACTCTGTTGTTAATTACCTCTTACAAATATACCAGGATGTATCCCTAAACTGTGTTTGTCTTTATTCGAATACACACACGCGGGAACACTCCCAACAACTCAACAAAAATGATCAAAGTATATTACAAAGCTTACATTCAAATATTTTATATTTCTGTCTTTCAATTCTCTATTATATGTTTTGAAACTATATATTTTTTATTTTTTATTTTTTTTTCTCTTTTATGGACGCCATGCTGTTTGAAGGCTTGGTTCTAGACCAAGTTAATGGGCGTTCTTTCACGTGAATTGCAGTAAAATTTTGAATATATAAGAATTAAACATTACAGTGTGGGAGACACTCGAATTTCTATACTATACTATACTATACTAGTATTTCTATACTAAAGTGCCGCATGGCCCAACATCGGGTGGGAAGCACTGATACAGACATTTATCCCTAAGAAATATAGATTGAACATTTAAAAAAAAAAAACATTCCTCAATATATAAACAAGAAATATTTAGATTTTGGATCCCTTCGGACAGTGTATATTATCATTTAGGCTACGAAAGCTAATTAACAGGCATCATTCAAACTTAGTCGCACAGCAACCTATTTACCTATTCTCGAACCAACTGGATATTTATAGATTCAAATATAAACAAATAATATTTAACTATTCCCGAACCATGTGAATGTTTATAGACTCAAATATAAACAAATAATATTTACCTATTCCCGAACCAACTGAATATTTATAAACTCAAATATAAACAAATAATATTTACCTATTCCCGAACCAAGTGAATGTTTATAGACTCAAATATAAACAAATAATAATTTATCTATTCCCGAACCATGTGAATGTTTATAGACTCAAATATAAACAAACAATATTTACCTATTCCCGAACCAAGTGAATTGTTATAAACTCAAATATAAACAACCAATATTTATTTACGATCGAACCAAGTACATGCAAAGTGACACCCCAAAAAGGAACATTGTTATTTCCCTCACCCGGATTCACGTATCCCCGAACTGAGTAGATCATTATAGGCCGAAATATTGTTCGAATTACAAGAATGGGTGAGGAACTGCCTTGCAATTATTAATCTTTTTGTATGAAAGTGAATGAGGGAGACTTTCTTCCAAGATGAAACGGTTTTATTGCGACAGAGATGAGATTCTCCAGAAAGATGCTGCAAATATCAGTGACGGAACACGACAGTAACGAGGAAGTTTTAAGGAAAGCAGAAATCAAAATAACAATTATACATAGAATCAGAAATGGGCTGGTGCAACTTTTAGGACACATATTGAGAAGAAAGTTGGTTTGGAGAATTTGACACTCACAGTATATATTGAAATCGAATCGTGCCAATAAGAACATAACAGTTTATCACACATTTGCAGTGCCAAAATTTACCCAGCCACTGAAAAATAATGTTTTTGATTTTAATAGGTGTGTTGTCATATCCTGCTATGGCAACAGAAAACAACTTTAAGTAAAATTAAAAATAACGATACTGAAATTGAGTGCCTTTGATAAAGAATAGGAAGGGAAGTAATATTAATAATGCAGGCTCCTTTTTTTTTTTAATGGCTATCACCCCAAGCAAGAGAGTACATTCACCAGCACACAAAGGGTTATAGGATGTGGAGTAATTAGGAACAGTAATGTTAATAATGAGGCGAAAGAAAAAGAGCAATCAGGAGGACAGTAGATAGCGATTGATATTGAGGATTAAATAAGCTACCAAACATGCTTGTATAAATGGATGAAAAAGCAAGAACAGGGCCAATTATTTAGGGGGCAAACATGACTTACAGTTATAACAGATAAGAAAAATATAAACTTGCTTGCATCGTATGTTATTCAAGATGACGGTCGTCTTCGAATATAGAATCCAGAGGTTAGCAGTGAATATTTCGAAGACAGTAGGGAAGCGTAGTTCAGGTTAGCAGTGGATATCCTGATAAAGTAGCAGAGCGTAGTTCAGCAGTTCTTCCTTCTGTTCCTCTTCGCCTGACAAATTGGCACTGGACATTCGGAGAGAGTAAACAAAATGGCCGCCTTTATGCACGACGGATTGAATATTCTACGTCTTCTGATTGGTTAACCTTCTATTGGTGGACTATAAAGTGAGTCAAGTCATTTGGGCTAGCTCACTAGTTACTTAATGTATCCAAAAATTGTAACACCGTAAACTTAATCAAAACGTAGTTTTCCCTATAAACGTTCGATCCCTGCCGAGAAAAGCATTTTGTTTTAGTATGATTTCTTGAATCCACAGTCTGATCGACATAACACTCCTCTGTTTAATAAATCAATCAAACAGCACAAAAATAAAACTAGACGAAATGCTTTTTTTCAGTATCTCATTCTATGATGAAGCGTTAATAAAAGCGAAACATGTTAGATTGATAAAAGTTCCCTATTTGTTCTTTATTCTATCATTCTCTCGGATTCCTATCGATATTTGATCTGTATTTGATCCCATTTCACACACGCACACACACACAATACACACTTACACCCCCGTTTTCCCTGGACTTATCAATGCAAATACATTCACAAAAATGAAAATAACTGAAGAAACGTGGATTTTATTCATTTTAGTAAATATATTTTCATTGATAAATCCGGGTAAAAACTACTTTCCCATGGACGAAATTATCATTCATATATATATATATATATATATATATATATATATATATATATATATGCCCGGGTGTAACAGTAAATTTGTCCAAATCGTATAACGGT